TTGGGATCTGGTAGAACATTTAGAGAGTATGGCCCTTTGGAGGAATCTACAGATCACTGGGATATGGGATAAATACGCATGGTGGCCATCTGCCCTCCCAAATAGCCAGACTGGGACCACCAAATGTTTGACTTGAATCTCTTATCTGAGCTAAATACATTTTTTTCTCTTATAAGCAACATAACGCCTTTTATTTTATTTAATTGGTGTTTTCGGGGACATCCATTTAGATATGCTAAAAGATAAATCAGTGTCTCAAAAGAGATGAAGCAATGCTTATACTCTTACACAAACCTCTTAATTTATGACATCTTTGTGGATATGTGGGTCCTTTTCCTTCTTCCACTCAAACAGGAGGAATTTTATAGTAGCCCAGAAGCAGGCTGGCATCTAACTCACTTTGAGAGCTTGGCTGGCCTAGCTTTAAGCTACAAATTCTCCTGTCTGAGCCTCCCAAGATCTGAGGTGACAGGACAACACCACCATGCCCTGCCAACAGTCTTTGGTGGCTAACTGGTTGGTTATCAAGTAGATAGAAAGCAGATAGAGCACGAGCTGTTGTCTCTCCCTCGCTTCATAGACTACAGGATTCTATGTGCTTGGTGTGGATTCTCACTGCAAAATTCCCACTCCTTCATTGTGCCAAATTAGGTAATGGTCTGTCCAGTGACGGAAGGGGAGGGGAGAGTTCAAGATAGATGCCATCCACTTGGGCTCTTCTCTTTGTTACAAATGGAGATGGTTACTCTGGAAAGCTCAGGGAGTCAAAACTGTCATTACATCTGTTGAGATACAGTGTCAGAGAAAACCTGGTCCACTAAAGTTTGGTTCGTATGTACCTGCATCTCTCAAAAGGCCAGACTCAGGCTGCAGGCTGCTGCTTCCTGATGTTACAGAAAAAAAATTGAAAATTCAAGCTGCCCTCTGACCATCCCCCATACAGGCCGTTTTATTTCATATTACTTTTAAAAATAACTTCCTTATTATCGATGTCACGGTATTCATTAGTAATCCCAACTAATTGGGAGGCTGAGGCAGGAAGATCATGAGTTCAAAGAAAACTTGCTCTCTAGAATCCTTGTCTTGAAAAACAAGGTAATGGATTTATTTCATTATGGCAAAGCTCAGTTAGTAAAATTTCTCACCAAGTTAGAAGACCCTTTCCTTATGCAAAAATAAATGGTTTGGCATGTATTAAGTGATTGAACCTAATGATCATGAGGGAGATCATGAATATGTAAATTAAAACTGAAGCACACAGAAGAACCCTTTTAGTGAGTCCAGCCTCACTAAAAGATGCTCAGAAGCAATACAGATACGTTTTTCCTCTAATAAGGAACCATTTTCACTGGGGAGGACATCATATCAGGTTGTAGGGGATATCGAAACTCTAACTTTGGCAGCAAAACACTTAGCATTTACATTTATTTATTATTTATTTACTGGGTATGATTTCAATTTTAACTCGAGGATAAAAATATTTGTTCTGAAGTGAAAGACTTAACAGAAGGCCGTATAAAACCTCCCTGCTGTGTAACACACATGAACTGAATTAGGCAGCCCACTTATCATTGTTACTAAGCACTCAGGAATCCAGAGGCAAGAGGCAGGAGAGGAACCATTTACATCACATAAAATACATAAGATAGATAAAAATCATGAGGTGTCATTGCTCCACCAAGAATGCCTTGAGGCAAAGCCGCTCTGTCTGAGGAGCAGACCTCTCCCCTCTGCCGATTCTCGGATTCCCTTCTTGTCTGAGGCAGGGAGAGGACAGTGAAGAGGCTGAAGTCATAGCTTCTGGCCAGAGATTTGATGGGGTTCTACTGGCTAGAGCATGGAAAACTAAAAGCATGAAGCAAAATGTAGCATGTCCAAGCTTTCCTAGCTTCCCCACCAGCCTTCCTTCCTCGGGTCCTGAGGCACCGTCAGGGGCCCTTAGACAGTATGGAGACAGACAAACCTCAAAACCAGGACCCAGGGGTCTGAGTGAACCACAGAACAGCTGACTGCATCAGCCCATGCATCTGGTTTCTGCCTGAAAAACCAGAAATTTGCTGAGAAAATTAACCGAGTTCCTAGGTCACTGTTATTTCCCTTAATAACTTCTGTTTCTAAGAAACAAGATCCTCTCCTGCTCTGTTCCCTTGGTCCATTCTTAGACCTTAGAGGGATTGCCTCTGCTGCTGGAAGGGTCTGTACTTTGCAACCTGATAGACTTCTGGGATTCAGACTCAAGTGACCTGTTAGGAGAAACATCAAAGCTAGATGTGAATTAATCAGACCAACCATGGGATGCTGCGGAATACCCCAGAACGTCCTTCACATCACTAACAACTTAGTATTTATACTTATTTATTATTTATTACATAATAAATAACCCCCAGGATGCCTAGGATGGAGGCACTGTTTGGTTTGTAGTAATGCTGAGTGGAGGTGGTGGGGACCTTTATGATACGGTGGCACATCTGCCATGAACCACACTGTAGGTCAATGTGTAGCCCACAGTTACATTCTCCTCACAGTGCCCAGCATTCACTCCCTTTCTACATACTCCCTCAGAAAACTAGTGCTCTGTTACCAGAATATCCACATACACTATGTGCAGACTGGGCCCCAGGAGTGTAGCTCTGTCCTGAATTTTCCCCTGCCATGGCTTCCTGGCCTGTGGCGTTTGCTGACTCACATGACAGACATGTGAGCACAGACAGACAAGTGGGCACTTAAGCAGCTGAGCTCACTATGTCTCAGTACAATCAGTAGAGAAGATGCCTCAAGGCACATTCATCCAAAGGACAAGAGCCGAGAGTAGCTCTGTGTCCAACATGGGGCCCAGAACCAGGTCCAACAAGGTCCTGACTACTTGGCTATCCCAGGCCACACACAGAGGCGAGAACAGAAACAAAACAGAGATGCTTGAGCTGCTAAGTCTTCCAGGGAGTTGTTTGTCGCACTGCAGGAAAAAGAGGAAAAGGATGGCCAACGAATCTTTTGAAAGAGAAGAAATACTAAAAATGTCTTGATATCTAATTACTCAAAATGCTTCAAATTTTGGCCTGTGGGGTAGGCTATGGTATTAAGATGAAAATCATCTTTCCCCTCAGTCACCATTATCCTGTAGCAGCAGCAGTAGTACCACCACCACCACCATCATCATCATGACCACCACCACCACCACAACCACCACCACCACCATCATCATCATGACCACCACCACCATTCTTACCACCACCACCATCACCATTATAATCACTGTCACCCTCCTCCTGTTTGAAAAGACTTTCCTGCTTCCTCGTCGTCATCCTACTTGAATGACAGGAGGAGGGTTATTGGGATTATAATCTGATGGTGGTGGACATGATGATCGTGGTGGTAATCATAACTAGCATCATCACAGTCACCACATCACCATGACCACCACCACCAATCCTGACTGTTAACATCATCAATACCACCATTGCCACTATCACATTATTATCACAGTCACCAGTATCGTAACCACCGCCAGCATAATCATCATTGTATCATCACCATCATCACCATCATCACTGTTACTGCCACCACAATTAACACTCACCATAGTCACCATCCTATTATTAACACCAGCATCCTGACTACCCTCACCACCATCAATCGTTCCCCTGATTTCAGCTTTTACGTGTGTGTGTTGCTTTTTCCTGGCTTTCTGGAGTAGCTCTGTTGCCTGCACAATTTGGTTTTGAACTTGGAAGCCTAAGATGACATTAGTCATGTCCACATCAGTTTCAGCAAGAGCTGAGCTATTTCACCTTGATAATGGAAACTGATCAGGTGTGGCATGTGTGCAAATGATGTGTGAGGTGCTCAGTGTGCTTCTGAAGGCATCCAAGTTGGACGGAGAGGAAGCAGGAGAACCTTTTCAAACAGGAGGAGGGTGGCGGGGCATTCTAGGGAGGACTCCAACCCTAAATGTAGCTATTGTGGGCAGAGAGGGGAGCCAGCTGCTGGTTTAGATTTTCAGTATTAATGCCCTGCAATCAGAACCATGTGTGGCTCCTGCCTCACCCATGATCTGTCAGCCTCCTGAACATTCTGTCCTTTCTTGTGCCTTCTTCAGAACCTGGTCTAAACCCTTTCTCCTGTCTGTGCCTTTCCGGCTTTCTCATTCTCTTCCCCTGTGTGTGTCATCAATGTTCAGACTGAGAGTCTTTCTTCTCTGAGTTTGGAGGACCCGAGATGAAGTGGAGATACTGGATGAGGTTGACCAGGGGGAAGGACTTCAAGAGTTTTCATGAGATATCATGGAGCCAATCAGGGTGGTTCAGACCTCTGGAGGTTTGAATTGGAGAAGGCAAATGTCACCTTCGGGGTTCTGGTTATGTGACTCAGGGAACAACACTAGCTTTAATAAAACAAGGCACCGTTTACTGCTTCTGTCATGTCTGGAGTGTCTGCAGCAGGAGAAGCATAGGGCAGGTGGTGTTAATCCATCCTGGAGCTCTGTCACACAGTGATGGCATAGAAACTTCTAGTGTATCACACAAGGAAGATTGAGGCATTCACAACTATTAACTCATATATCCCACCTGTCACGGGGAATGTACCAGCACTCCTGTCCTGTAGGAGAAACCCCAAGGTTCAGAAAAGTTGAGAAATATGTCCCACATCACACAGCCTCCCTTGACAGGCAAAATTAGACCCAAATCTGCTGGGCTAGCACCCACGACTTTGGCTTCCACTAGTAGACACTTTTTACAGTAAGCTATCTTGAGGATCTGGAGAGGTAACGCAGTGTAAGAGCATTTGTTGTTCTTGCAGAGAAACCAAGTTCAATCTCAGCACCAAGTTCAATCTCATATAGTAGCTCACAACTGTCTATAACTACAATTCTAGGAGATGTTATGCTCTCTTCTGACCTCCATGGGCACCAAGCATGAACTAGGCACATAGACATACACACAGGCAAGACTCTCACACATGTAGAATAATCTAAAACAAAATTTTAAGACACTAATCAATTATGAAATGCTGAAAAGAAGACTAATACAGTTTAATCGCATATTTTAATCTAATAAAAATGATTAAATTCAGAGTTCAGAAATATAAAAGATTATCCAAAACATACTCGTTTGTAGATAGTGTTGACGTGAGCTGGTCATTTCTTGCCTCTACACTGTTCAAATGAGCAAAGGCCTTATGCAGCGTGTGTTCACAATGCATCCACAGACATATATTGAGAGATTGGGGACCGTGAACAGTTTTCCAAATAACCTCAATCTGAAAGAATTGTCTCAGCTCTCCCCCATCTGCCACTGTTCCTTGAGAACAGAGAGTACAGACTGACCTAGGTCAGAGAGTGACAGCCAACCATACACCCAGTCCAGTCCAGTCCAGTCTCTCACAGTGTGAGAGGTCATCCAGTTCCTAACCTTCCTCTCATAAGGCCTTGGATGAATCCCCTCAATCCTTCCAGGCCTCCACAGAATGAAAGTGACATTCATTCAGCTGCTGTTGTTCAGCACTCTTGGAACGATGTCTAGCCGTGCCTTCCTCAGGATGTGGTCCATGATCTCTGTAGAAGACATTTTTCCTCTTGGGTGGACCCTAGCAGGATGACCTGGACACTGAGAACTGAGGCAGGTGGACTGGATCCTTCCTGAGCCAATGAGATGGAGCCAGTCGGCCAGAGTTAAATTTGCCCTCTGAAAAAAGACTCTCTGGCTGCTTGCCCACTCAGCTCCCTGGAGATTTAACAGTAGGGTTGGTTCAGGCAGAGTTAAAACTCAAGCAGAAGCTAAAACTGGAGTCTGACAGAGTCTGACAGCATAGCCTCAAACAGGGGCTATTGGAAGTTAAGGTTATGATTGGGCTAGTGCCTGTGTGACCCATGGTGTGAGTGACATCTCTAGAGAGCAAAACTTTATGGAACAGGCAACCACTGCAAACTTCTAAGGATATGGTAGGCTCTGGCTTGCATCAAGAGCACTGAGAGCAAGGCAATGGAGACTATAGGCAGAGGAAAGGGCAAGGGAATAAACCAGGCCCTCTCTCCACAGAGGGACAAGGAAGTGAAGTTGAAATGCATTTAAAACCCACCCCATCAGCACAGATCTTGAAGGTCAAACAAGGACACATACATTGTATGTGATTAATTTCCCGAAGCCAGCCTTCCATTTTCACAGATCACAACAGTCCGTTTAAATATCTCATTTCTACAAAGTGAATTTACATTTAAAGTACAAAGTGCAAATACTATATGTGTTTTGTTTTTTAATTGCTCTTTGGTGAGGGAGATTCCCACATGTCTAGGAACTGTCTTGAGTAGTCAGTTGTTCATCCTTGTTTTCTGGCCTGGAAAAACAAAACAAAGGAACTCTTATGAAGATGTCTGTGTCTTCCCTATGCAGACAAAGGTTTGCTTCTGGAAGTAAACCTACTTGCTATGAGGAAACCAGACAGGAAAGGAGGAGACACCTTACAGTTAAGGAAGAGTGGGCCTGTTGTTTAGGAAGTCTTTTCTTCCCTTGAAATCACCAGGAAAATATATCATTTGAGAAAGACTGCATTGACTTCAAATATCCTAAGTGAACTACTACATGGTACAGGGTAGTCCTAAACTTGCAGACACCAGACTTCAACTTGGGTTACCTTTGCCCCCAGCCTGAACAGTCTTATACTATTTAATGTTTTTCCTTGATCCCTCTGTCTTTCTAGTTTTACCTAAGAAGAAATGCAGCTTACATTTGTGTTCACAGTCTCTTGCTGTCCTTCACAACATGAACTTTCAAAGGACTTTAGAGAACGGAAGAAAAGAAAAAGGCAGCCATCTTTTGATCAAGTGCAGCAATACTCTGTATAAATGGAGGTTGATCTGATACCTAAAATACTAAACTTTGAATCTTAGGGTGTCTTTCCTTCCTTCTGATAACACGACAAGGAGGTGAATAACCTCTATACTAAAGCTGATGAAAGCTTTGTCTTAATTGTAAGGTCTTCTGATGTATTTTAGTCATTACTGAAGATGATCAGGACTACTGGGGAAGAGGGTTGTCCTTGGTAGTCATATCCAGATACCCAAGCACACAGCTCTAATCCTTACTGAGCCAGATATGAAGTTACCTAGAATGTTTTGATTTCTGACCCGCTGACATCAACTCATGGCATACAGTAAGACTGGTAGGGATTTGCTCTGTGCATTGAAGTGCTGTAAGAAACATAGAGAAACCACACTGGTCTGCTTGTTTTCTGGAAGAATACTGAAGTGGAAGGTTTGGTTTGGGGTGGAGGAGCGCTATTTAAAATTGCATGGCACATGTGTGCCAGAGAGTTGCCATTAGCTAGAGCAAACAGCCCCTGGGAAGCCTTCGGAGGCAGCTGGGTAATTGCTCTCAGACCTGCCCCCTTTGCAAGTGTAAGTGATTTGCAGTGTGACTGGAAAAGTTAAAACCATAAACATTTACTAAACAAAGGAAAATGAATCACATGTCCTTCCTAATGAAATGGCTTTCAGTTCCCTCCAAGGTGTGTACAGGAGGTCCCTACTTAAAACCCACAACAAACAGGGACCCTCCCTCCGCCTGGCATCAAACAGGTGCAGCCAAAGTAAACAGATAACATACCAGAGTCAGAGAGAGCTCAGCTTGCCTGGCTTTGGGCAAAGAACCCTGGAAAGTGTCCCCACTTAGGCTGTGGCTGGGACTTGGGGACCACAACTGTACCCTTTAATTGTACATCTAGAAATGTGGCCTCAGAAACACAAATGTTTGTTAACACAGTAAGGAACTGAAAATCTCTTTGTGAGATGAACTCCTGCCTCTGTTGATCTCCAGGTGAGTGGGTTATTTGAGGGGCAGAGTGTCTCCTGTCCAGCATCTCCTTAATATTTAAGAAACAAACACCAGCTCCCCTAACTATTTCTACCACACAACTTGGAAACACATCTCTAAATTAACAAATAAATTAGAATTTCAAATTATTTTTTTTTAAAAAAAGGACAGAGTCTTTAAATAAAGGATTTAGCTGGTCGGTGATCACAGGCAGAATTTGACAAAAAGTTTCTTTGTTCCAAATACTCTCACGTGTAGCTGCCTTAACTGAGGTGTCTGGTTTTTCTGAAGGTACCATTGCCCCTTATCCTACACCTAGACCCTGGATTTCTCTTGTAAAGTTTAAGTAGATTGGAATATAATAAAGTCTGCAGCACAGACATACTCACCTGTCTATTAGAAGAAGTACTTTCAGCATTTCCTCTGGGGGCTGGAAGGGGAAAAGACATTATTGCTAGTCAAATACTCCTCAATGACAGGCTCAACATCAGCAATCAGCAGGCTTGGTCAAATGACAATGTACTCATAGAGACCTGAGGCTAGATTTGGAAGAGTGGGGTTTTAAATCACTATGGTAACATTGTCTAACAGAAATGCCCTACTGTAACACTAGGAGAGTGCCTTGTTTTATCCCAAATCCTGACCAAAAAGAAAAGCACGGAGTGAGCCTGAGCCACACCCACACACATTCTGTTCTTTGAAATATTTTGGTTCAGTATTAAAATTAGAAAACATTAGCTTTGGCTCATTTCACTCATGTGCTGTTTGTCCTTGGTTTGGAGATTGGGAGGCTCCCCTTTCTACTCTCAGTGAAGTACCCACTCCAATGCTACATGGACACTCTACTTCAGGTGCCTCTCTGCCTCACTTTGGTCTCTGCTCAGAGAGTTCAGCCTCTCTCACTTGGCTGAAGTCCCTCCTTGGCCAGAGTCTTGGGGAGGGGGGTCTTCTCCAACCTTCCTTCCTACTTTGTAATGGCCTCTGTGTGACTTCATTCATTCCCTCCTGGCCATAGACAGTTGCTGTCTGTCCACAATGGACCCATCTCATCTCCCTCCTTTCTCCCTATTCACTGTCAGTTCCATGATAGTATTAGATAGCCATTTCCTGCTGGCTCACAAGTACACACAGGTCAGTATCTGAGATGCTCCTGTCTCCTAAGCCCAGACTGTACCTCCAACCATAGCAACTCATCAGAATTCTAATAGGTGACTCAAAGGCAGCAAGGAAAGCTGGACTCTACTTCTCTAACTGTAGCCCTGCCAATTCCTTTCCAGGACCAGGTATCCCCATTCCAGAGCTGCTTTGTAGTCACCCGATGTCTCATCACATTCCCTCTTTGCAGGCCAACACCTACAATAGCTCTGCCTCCACACCCTGTTCTGAGTTCATGATTCCCAGCAGTCCTCTGTCCTGAGCAGACAGCCACCTCACTCAAAGGAACATGTTGAGCCCAGATCCCCATTCGAAGCCATTCCAACTGTGATCTATACCATGTGGTTTCCCAGAAGGCAAAACATCTCCCTCCCTATATCTCTCCTGCCCCCAGTATATGCCACAGTGACCATTCAGCATTATACAACTAAATTAGGGTCCAGGCTAGATTTCTGTCTTGGAGAAATGACTCTTGCTAATTTATGGAAAGATGACTTTTTATTTTAGATGGCTATCTAAAGTCCCTGCAGCCAATTACTCTAATGTTGTCCTGACCACAGCCACAGAGCTTGGAGGTACAAGGGGAGAAATGCACTCATGTTCCACACATGTGCTCCAACATGTTGATGAAGCCAGTCACCAAATCATAGAATCAAATGTCAGAACTTCAGACTCTATCTATCCTGGAGTTCTCTCTACTTCTGCTACATCTGGCAACTTAGGCCAGCCCCCACAGAGAGACATGTTCAACTGCTGAGCCAGATCAACACACTGAGACAACTGATCTCCTAGAGGTGATGATTTCACTGTCCCTGACCTGGCCTGAATGTTCCAGTGGAGTCTATAAACTATGCTGGCCAGCTAGCGTCAATGGTTCCGAAATCAGGAGGGAAGTCATGTTTGAACAGTTAGCCACTGTAATTAGAACAGTAGCAGGTTGGGCATTAGAACTGTGCTCAGTTCATGCTCCTCAGACTTGCTGCTCTCTGGGTCAGGTGATAAGCTGCTGACCACCTGTGGTCATTTCTACATGGGTGACAACAACCAGTGGCATACCATGTTTCTCCTATACAGAAGACCAGAAAGCAACCCCATCGACAAAACCCCAGCATGATTAAAGTGCATAGCAGTGAAGTAAGGCTTACTGTGGCGCTTCTTGGTGTTGGCTTTACTCTCCTCTCTGGTGACACCCAAGCAGCCCATGAGCTCCTGCACTGTGATGGACTTATCATTGTTCATATCGCAGTATTCCACAAACTTCTTCACACACTTTTTGGGCTTGGATTTCTTTCGCAGGAACCTCTTAAAGGGTTTGATTTCCTTCTTGCCAATGTCTCCACTAGAGTTCTTATCAAGCAGCTTGAAGTACCAATGCACAACCCTCTCCTCCAGGGTGTGGCTGGGATCTGGCTCTGACAACCTAGAGGATGAACAACCATGTCAGGCAGAAGGTTGAAGCTGACACGCCCCCTGACTCTATGACTCCCACCTCCCCATCCTCAAGCCTATGTCTACCCCGGTGCACTACCTGATAGAGCCTCTTTCAAATACAAGGCAGAAAGTAGTTCATAATGGCTCAACCAGTGTGTTCAGAACATGGAACACCACAGCACATGTGTGCATTTTAGTTATTCAATTGCCTAAGGCCTTGAACCCAAGGTCACTGTCCTGAGACCTGGGCTTCACTAGCCCAACAGATAGCAGCATCCACCAAAGACATCTAGAGTCCCGGGCTCTCTACCTTAATGTGATACTTTGTCTACTGCATATGTAAGATACACTTAAATATATGAAGATAGTCGAAGGTGATATCAAAAAATTTTAAAGCTGCAACGAGACAGTTTTCTTTGGAATTGTTTTAAGCTGTACATTCTGAGACACGGGTAAGTCAGGCTGTGAGTCAATCCTTGAAGCTGTACAGTAAGGATGTGCACCTCTCACCCAAGGTGGAGGATCAACACCATCACTTTGGACTCTTTGGATACCATTGTCCACTGGTTTAGATGAACTTTCCTCCATGAGAGGGCAAACACAGCAGGCAGATGCCAACAGCCCCCAGGGACTGGGCTCCCTGGCGCTATTGTGGGTCAGACACTCAGAAGGCAAATCAGTGACTTCCACAGTACAAAACGTGAGGTTGAAATTTAGGTGACTTCTTTTGCCTTAGCTTATGCAATTGTGACATTTCCCTTAGTGTTCCTTCTCCCCTTACTCCTTCCTTAGCAAAAGAACCATAAGATGAAGGGGTTTTTGCTAAGGAGACTTCATTCATGAGACAGCCGGGAGCTTGTTATCAGGATGGCATGGAAGCCAGTATTTTTAGGAAAAAAAAACCCATTAAAATAGTGTTTCCTTTAGAAATAAGAGTGAGAGATTGTGAACACAAAAGGGTGAGTTTACATATTGAAGTGTCATAGCTGTTCACCTGGACAGCTCCATCACCCTGTACCGTGAGGCAGTGGGCACACAGGCACTATAGGTACTACCATGAAACAGAACCCAAGCCTCAGTGTGTCTACAGTGTACACAGGAGAGCATCTCTAGGGTGAGCTGTGTTGGTGGGATCAATGCCCCATTTGTACACTTGAACCCGAATAAGAAGATAAGCTTAAGGTGTAGAGCAGGTATCAACAATAAATAAGTCTCAGTACTAAGGAGGTTGAGGTAGTGGATCTCTGGGTTCAAGGCCAGCCTGGTCTGCAGAATGAGTTCCAGAAAAGCTAGGGCTACACACAGAAACCATGTCTCAAAAACAAAAAACAAAAAACAAAAAACCAAAGAACTCAAAAACACAGGCCCCAGGAGCCCCTGAACATGAAGAGTGGTGCTGTTCCCCAGGGTCTTCCTGATCTAATGAGGTTCTCTCTCTCTCTCTCTCTCTCTTTGCCTTTCTCTCTCTCTCAGAAATTCAAGTGAACTGCCTGATCTCACATGGCCACTGGCCAGGAAGAATTTAGCTTTCCAGATTCCTTCAAATTTCTGGGCTTCAGGCCAGCATATTGCTCTGCAGCAAGACAGTATACCTGCCAGAAGTGGAAGAGGGGTCAGAGACGGCATGAACCATGTCTGTGGAGAGCGCATCCAGGACACTTGTCAGAAACTCGTGCTTTTTGGCACCAGGACAACCTAAAAAAAATGCACATTTCCCCCGCTCTGTTAGTGGAATTCACAAAGTATAACAGACATCTCTGTACAATGGAAAAAAGATTTACTATCCAGAAATTAGTATGTTAGACTTGCTTCATATGAATGAGATGATTCAATGAAGGCACTTTGTATACATACCTCACAATTGCACCACTATAATTCATAAGTGTTGACCTTGACTCAGAGCAACTATTAATCATGGTATCTAACAGTTGTTGAATTATGACATGAGATTAAGATTCTCAGGGTTTAGCCTCGGGTTGATCGGGTTGATCTTTAAAGCCACAGTACAGGCGTGTATGGGTTCCCTTTCAGTACTCACCAAGTTCTCCCTACTGGGATTTATATAAGGAGATCTAACCCAGGGTAGTAAGTCAAGAAGCTGCCAGCGACCACTACATATCTCCTCAAATCCCAAGTCTAGTTAGAAGCAATATTAGGCAGATCTGTGGTTGCCTCCTTAAGGGCAGATTCACTCTTAAACATCAGTGCAACACATATCAAGAATCATAGGCATTCACACTTGTGAGCCCCAGAGATGACTGTGTAGGATCTCAACCATAGAGTGATTCACCTATTCTGGTATCTAAAGCTCAACTTTCCACAGAGCATTTTACATGCATGGTAGTGCTTCATCACCAATCTTCCCTGCACTCAACCCCACTTGGGGTATCTGTTTATCAACTCTGAGATATTTTCTCCACCCAGAGTTATGGCAGCTGGCAGGAAGAGCGTAACATGCTAGTGTGGCTGACAACATTCTGGTTTCACGTTTTTCCTTTAGATACTCAGGTTGGTTGTTGTAGTTGTTGTTGGTGGTGGTAGTTTTTTGTTTGGTTGTTTGGTTGTTTGGTTGGTTAGTGTGTGTGTTTTTACTATGATTCAAACAGATGCTGCCTGCCTGTGGCAAGGATCTGTGGAGGTCTGTTTTGACTCATTAAACATTTTAGCAGAAAACAGATGTTAGCCTTTCATAGAGTGTGTGGAACTCGAGACAAGAAAGACTGTGAATCTCTTCTGTGCTCAATTAAAAGAATGGACTGTAATCTAAAGAACAAGCCATAACCACTGGGTGAAGGACTCTGAGAAACTGTCCTGAATCTCCTGAGACATTCTCCAGGAAGGAAACAGAAGCCTGAGGTTGCTTTGAGTGGTCACTGACTCCAGAAACTTCTGGAAACTATTCTTTCTGGACAACTGGAGATGACACAGGCATTGATGGTGTGAAAATAAGGACAGGAAAAGATTCAGAAGGCCCATCAAATGGAGCTTCCTAACCACCTGCTGTATAGTCAGCTGGCCCATGGTACCTCTGAAGGAGGAGACATACTGGGAAAGCATGGTAGGCCTGTGTAAAACCCTGGGGTGCACCCATGACCTCCCCAGTGTTTATCAGCCTCAAGAGACTCAAAGGAGGATATGGTGAAGGTAGCCATTGGTCACATCTGCTCAGAGAATGTCCACTCAAGCAAGATCCTTGCTTGGAATGGATGCCCAGGTATGATATCCTTATTTTGTTTTACAGGAGGTAACTGATAAGCCATTTATTTTAGACTCCGACATCTATGTTTGTAATAGTTTTAGAGACATTAACAAATGGAAAAAGAACAGCCCATCATGTCCAAAGAGGGCAGGATGAAGGAGAAGTGGCAGGACTGGTTGGAATGAGGACCCAGGAATCTGCTCATGACAGCCTGGGTTAGGAGAGTGAAGGGAGCGTCTTATCTACATGGATGATCAGGTAATAGTGGAGATGTGAGAAAGAGACTCAGACAAAGGGCCAGAGTCATCTACAGGCTGTACCTGCCAAGTTTGTATTGATTGGTCAGCTCCCTGTGATAATCTGAGAGTCCGTTGGCTCCACTACAGAGCTCAGAGCCATACTGCCTTGTGATACATAGAATGGGGCATAAGAATATTCCCAAAGGTCAAGACAAACAGATATGAGACTGACAGACATGCTCAGAAGAGAGAGCTAAGAGCATCCATTGCCCTTGAAGGTGATGCCTTGCAGTATGTGAAAGGCAGTTGCACCATGGTGCCAAAGTGTGCCCCTGCGAGTATTCACTCTGACAAACATCCGAGAGAACTGACCTGCCTTGAGGTAAGGGGGCAGTGACTCCATGTGGCCTCATGGTGGTCTGGTGTTGTAGACAGAAGTCAATTCATTCTGCAGATACTAGTTCCCATGCCCACAATCCTAACCTGCCCATCCATCTCATGAGCAGTGAGCTCTTGGGTTCCTCTGAAACATTAGATCTCTGACAGGACCACAGGCTGACAGGAAATACAAGATTCATGGGTAACACTTCATGCCTCCAATTTCTCTTCTTAATCAAGCTGCCTGTCTTGGGGGCCAATGGAATGTTTCCAAGAATGCTGGCATTCCAGGGTAAGTGTCAGGATCAAGTATTCGTATCTTGATCTAACAGGACAGTCAATTTATTTAGGGATAGCTCTGCTAGGAGAATGTTCTTCCAGTAAATGCAGAACTGAGTTCAAAAGTCCTTGGCCCTGCAGTTGCTTCTCCAGAAGTTCATTTTCAATTCCTTAAAAAATTGCTTGGGTTTTTTTTTCTTTTAATCTTTAAAAAGAAATGTGTTCTGCACTTTCTATGAAACACTCTTATTTTCTAAAACAGACTTCTTCTATTTAAAAACTACTGATTTCACTAATTTTGCTTATGCTTATGATTTTTTTCCAGCATGAATTTATTCATGATGGGTCTCCTGATTGCAGGGCAAATCTTCTCTGTGGATCATCACAATGAATGTAAACTTTCTCCCAGTAACCTACATGGCATGCCTGGCTACCACAAGAAAACCCCATGCAGAGCCAGTGGAGGCAAAGAGCAGTTCATCATGAGAAGAAGCTGGGTGATCCTAACCTGGGTCTTATGTCCATGCTGGTCATGCATAAAGAGATGTTAGCATCCATGCCAATGAGACACCGTGAGATTAGGGAAGGCCACAGGGATAGAAACCCAGGCCTTGAGCTGGTCAGTGTCAGTGAACTCACAAATCTGAAGTATCTGGTTGATGACATGTTTTAGATTTGTGAATACTTTCTTAGTTTAAAAGGTCTATTTTAAATTATGGCATTGAACTTGACATACAGCCAAAATATCCTTCTGTCTGCAGTGACTTCTCAGTAAGAAACTACCAGGGTACTGTTTTCTCCAAGCTTAGAGTTTCCTTGAGCATTCTTGAACAAGCATTTTTAAGGACTAAGAAGTCTAGGGTAGCATGATATTAGCAGAGGCTGGACCACAGCTTCCAGCTCATGGTACAAAGTGTTACACCTGATGTTTGAATCCACTACAACACACAAGTTCTCCCCACCCCATCGTACTAACTTTAGACACTCTACAGCCTTGGAAAATTGATGAATCCATTCATACTGAGACACAGAAAGGCAGAAAGACACAAAGAAATAGAGGCATGAATCTTACACCAATTTAGTGGAGATCTGAAAGTGCATGGTCTTTGACACTACAACCAGGCTGGGTAAGAGGTAGTCAGTGTACTAACCCTTATGCCTGAACAAGGATCATGGCCTCTGAGTTCTCCTCACTGCTCTTAAGGCCTTGGTAATGGTGGATGAAAGACCTGACTCACCCTTCCTGGACAACCATCCTAGTTTGTACATGGTTGGAGTGGAGGGCAATCTTCAGATGACTTCAGTCTCCTTGGTGAGGGGTTAATGAGGAAGGGAAAGTGGGCAGCCTTGTGAGTAGGCAAGAGGGTGATGTGAGCCAAGCCCAACGGAAGCCTATCCTGTGTACAAGGAAGAGTTCTCCACATAGAGTATGTGGAGCTGGGAAGTGGCCTTGGCTGAGAGGTCTGGGACTTAAGCAGCTAGTAATAAACCATGGTCACAAAGCCTCTGAAACACAGTGTCACAGATATTCCTAGAAGGTGACTATTCCAAGTAGCTAGCATCTCCTCCTTGCCTAGTCACAGACACATGCTGGGTGATGTGCCTGGGACACAGGACCCATTTCCCCCATCAATCTCCTTCTCTCTTTCCTTATGCACAGCTCATACCGTCTTAACATTTAAATTTAGAACTATGGAAAGAATCAAAATGTAGACCCAGGCAACCAAGGATTAGAAAAGTTTGCTCAGCTGCTTGTGTTTAGCTGCCTGCAAATTTTTACAGGTGTGAAAAGCCAATCCGGTAATCCTTCCTCCAGGCTGGACCTCACAGAGGGTTTAAGGATCGGGAAGTGCTAGAGAAAGATCTCACCAAACTTTCCAACTGTAAGATTAAGGGAAAAAAAACTTCACTCTTGTGTTAACTCTATTTTGCTATTTTCTATATTTTTGTGCTTGAAATATTTATGTTTAGATCTCATTATTTTCAGTGTATTTCCTATGTTTTAAAGCATAGTTCCTGGGCTCTGGGATGCACGATAAGGAGTTTACACTCATACATTGGTGGAAATCAGCTCTTGTTTAGGAGCTAAAGCCCAGGAGAGAGCCAAGATGATGGGGAAAAGCAAGTCATGATGGGCACATGGTCGGTCAACGGCTCCCACTGTCCTAATCCTTCAAAGAAGCTACAGACATAAGGCCATGGGACATCCCTTAACAAACATCCCAGAAAGCCTTCACCTTGGCTTAAGTCTCCATAGGTTGGGCATCAGAATAATATATACATTAGGAATCTGAGGGACATGTCTGAAATACGGAGCTGCGTAGGCATTATCCTCAAGCCAGCCCTGCTGGTGCCTGGGATCTCTCTGGGCTTCCCAAGTGCATTGGTGACATTTGTCAAGGGCCTTGATGACAGCCATGACCCAAGCCCTTTAGGTGCTTGTAGAGGAGGGAAGTGCTGCTGAAGAGATATTGGGAGAGTGGTCATGAGAAAAGCTCAAAGTCACTTCCTAGGACTTATGGGACTTCTCTGGGTTCCTGTCTGTGTCTTTCTTACAAATTCTAAGGTCACAGGCCTCCCGAGGTAGAGTGAACATCTTT